CCCCGGTGCCTCCCAGGGACCTCTTCCCGGCTGGGGCTTGGGAGCAGCGCTCACGGCGGGCAGCGGTGGGGATGCTGACACCCCGGCCCGCGTCCACGGCCCAGCCAAGGACAGCCCTGACAGAAGAGGACCGGCGAGACGGCCAGGTGAAGGGACACCACGCGACAGCAATTAGTTGGACAAAGCACGGCCAGCCACAGCGACCTGGCGAGGCTAAAGTGCAGGACAGGCTGATGGGGCACACGGCCCTTCTGCTCTGGGGAATCCCCCCGTGGTCCCAGTGTGGCTGAGCTCCGACAAACTCACAAGCTCTGCCGTGATACTGACAAACGAGGCGCGGGTGCAGCCAGCTCCTGCCTTCTCCCGCGGAGCTCCGGCAGCCCCAGAGGCGTCGGTGTCCCTTCCCGGGGAGGGCAGAGCAGACGCAGTCAGTTCTGCTTCTCTCAGCTACGCCTGCTCAGCCCTGCGCAGAGGGACACCTGAGCGCAGCGGCTCCCGACTCCTCTGGGACCGCATTCCCTTCCCCTGCGCCCCCGCCTTCAGACGCAGCCCTCCAGAGCAGCCTCCAGGTCCCAGCAGGGCTGGGGCAGCCCCAGAGGAAAGCTGGCGGCAGCCGCTGCAGACACAGTCTGGTCAGCCCGCTCTCAGGGGGACCAGCTCTCTGGGCTGGAGGGTTGGGGAAGGCACGACCCAGCTCGGAAACTCAGTAGTCTGCGGGGGGACGGGCACGGAGGAGCCGAGGGGGTCTCTCCTCAGTCCTACGCGGGCACTCACTCACCTTTGAGCAGGACTCGAACACAGCAGAGACCGTCAGTCCAGATCAGCTGAACTTGGCAGCGCTCAACTCCCCCCAGGCGCATGTTATATACAAATCTATACATGCCTGACTGTATATTATATATAAATAAACTTTGCTTTAAGGAACTATAGGGTTTTTTTCTTCCCTCAAAACCAGAAAAGGGTCAGTCCAGACCAGTAGAAAAGCCGGGGCTCCCCAGCTCTCACCTCTGCACCAAAGGGTACGGATCCACAGCGGCCGAGCATCGCCTGGCGTGCCCAGGGGGCTTTCAGAAGTCTGGGAAAGGCCCGCTGAACTGGATCACGCTCTGGCGCTCCTGGGGGAGCATGTTCTCCTGGGGGGCCCCATTTAACGTCCTCAGCATGTCCTCCAGGATCTCTCTAAAATTGATATTCCCATCCTGTTGTAAAAAATCTTCCTGCTGCTGCTGCTGCAGCGTCTGCAAAGGTCCCGGCTGCGGCAGAGGGAGGTGTTCGTGCAGCGAGGAGCTCAGAGGCACGTTCCCCTCCAGGACAGGGGCCGGGCTCTTGAAGGCAGAAGGGTGGCCGAAGCCAAAGGGCAATCCGTGCTGCTGGTGCGGCTGGAGAACGGGCTCCGAGGGGAAGCACAACACCCCGGGCTCTGGGTTCATCACCACGTCGGGAATGCTGTTGCTGGGAGGGCTGTAGGTCAGGTCCAGGATCTCGTCCTGGCACAGGGAGTGCCTGGGCAGGGGGACCCCAGGCCCCATCTGCGTGAGGTCCAGGGGCTGTGGCAGGGCGGGCAGCGGCAGGGAGAACTGCGGGCTCTGCTCTTGGGCCTGGAGGAGCCGGTTGTGCTTTCGCTTCACGTTCTCGTCCATCTGCTTCAGCTCCTCCAGCACTTTACGGACACAGCT